AAAAAAAAGGGGTTGTAGGGACTAAAAATCCCTACAACCCCTTTTTTTTTTTTTTGACCCATTATTTAATTCAGGAAAAATATGGTAAATTCGGGTCCGCGGCGCGGACTATGAAACACCCGCGGACGCGTCCGCGGGTCCGATCTCGGATGGCGGACGCAGATGGGGCCGCGTCCACGGCCGACCTGGTCCGCGCCGCGGACCCAATTTTACCAGAATTTTCCTGAATTAAATAATAGGTTAAAAAAAAAACAAATATATGGGGTTGTAGGAATTTTAAGCCCTACAACCCCATATTTCGTTTTGTGGTATCCGACTTTTTTTAGGATTTTAAAAAAATCAAAAACTAAATTCGATTTAAAGAATATATATATATATGTTCTGTTTGTGACGATATATATATATATATAGTCACAGTATGTATAAAGAAAAGCTGGCATTTTTTAGAGGCCTACTAGCAGTAGGGTAGAGGTAGTGGGGTACCAGTCCAAGAAGCCTGAGTCTAGGGTCTGTATAGACGATATCAGAGCCTGCAATGATGTTTCCCCCCGAAGGGAGGAGGTACCGATTGTTTGCAGGCCGTCCGGCCTGGAAGTCAGCACCCAAGAGGCAGGTAGGCTGCTATATCTCCAGGTAGAGCACCGAGCTCTACAGCATTCGCGGTCTGCGAGTTTGGGCATTATGCTGCTTGATAGGGCGCTGGGCTACAGAGCGTTGCTGGGAAGGAAGGAGGAGAGCTGGCCGCTCTGCCTGGGGATGGTGAGCAGCTCATCTTGAGGAGGAGGAAGAAGGGGGCAAAGGAGGAGAGTGGGAGGCACTTACCTGGCTATGGTGGACACCATCTTCATCACCTTGTTATGTGCTGCATGTTGAAGGCCCCAGTTGGGGTAGTGCTGCACCAGGGAAGCTTCGAGGCAGAGTCAGGGATGGCGGCCTGAAGAGCAGCGGCCATAGCTGTTTTGCATTGTCTTCTGCACAGGAGGGCAGGTTCCTTAGTAATCCGCCATAACCTCGGCTGAGTGTCCTTTTTAATGGGGAGGGGGTGGAGTTAAACAGCCGTTAAAAGCTGTTTAATACCCCCTACCCCCGTTTAATTCCCGTTGGATCAGAAATGGGGGGCCTCCCACCATTTTTATTTCAACCAATTGGGTCTGCGGGGGTTCGAGTATGTAGCCCAGCACCCGTGCAGGCCGTGCGCAATTAAACTGAAAAAAAAAAAAAAAAGGAAACAACCCCCCAACAGTTCTGTGTGTGTGTGTGTGTGTGTGTGTGTGTGTGTGCGTGTGTGTGTGTGTGCGCGTGTGTGGGCACTACACACGCACACACGCACACCCACACACACATGCACACGCACACACACATACACACGCACAAACACACAGTTCTTTCTTCTTCTTTCTCCTTATTTGCTCTCTCTCTTTGCAAGTGCTTTCATTTGTTTTGCAACTGGGTAGAACTGTCTTTCTTTGTGAATTTGCACTTCGGAAAGAGCCAGGACCGTAACAGAAAAATAAAGAAATAAATAGATAACTTTGATCTGAAGCCAGGACGCCAAGGAGCAAATTCGAATCTATCTGTTCCTAAGGAAGTTCAAAAAAAAAAAAAAAAGAGGAAGTTCATTCAGTCATGATCATGGCAAAAAATGTACAATAACTTCCATAATACT